TGATGGTGAACTTCATCTTTATCCCAGTAGGCATATCAAAATATACTTAGGCACATTAACATTGATGTAAATGGATGTTTCAAGTCTTACCAAATTACTCACATTAGCCAGATTACAATGCGTAAGCTCATGAGTTCAGCATGTCAGCAAAGAATAAGTGGGAGTATTCATGAAACTTGCATTAGCTCTGTGGCGTATGCCCAAACCAATACAATATAAATTCCTCTTAATTAAATAAAAACATAGCATTAGATGAAAAAAACAAGCCTCATTTCTATTTTTATTATACTTTATACATATTTAACTTCACAGCTACTTGTTCCTTCAGTCTTTATTTATGCATCATTGGAAAATCACTTTTAACTGTGACAATGAAAGTTTCAAAGGTAATTATACCTCTTTATTTAATGGCTTATCTCAGTCTGAAAACCACTTTATTGGCACATTTATAAGCAGATTCACAAACAGAAAAGCAATTAACTTAATGAATTATTCTGAAACTGCAAAGAAATGCTTATGATTAAATCTAAACAAATGTTTACTCTTTCAAATCTGTTTAAAATAAACGAGAGAAAAAAAACAGGTCTGGAAAGGTTTTTCTCCTGAAAATGTGTGGAGGATATACACTCACCTAAAGGATTATTAGGAACACCATACTAATACTGTGTTTGACCAACCTTTTGCTTCAGAACTGCCTTAATTCTACGTGGCATTGATTCAACAAGGTGCTGAAAGCATTCTTTAGAAATGTTGGCCCATATTGATAGGATAGCATCTTGCAGTTGATGGAGATTTGTGGGATGCACATCCAGGGCACGAAGCTCCCGTTCCACCACATCCCAAAGATGCTCTATTGGGTTGAGATCTGGTGACTGTGGGGGCCATTTTAGTACAGTGAACTCATTGTCATGTTCAAGAAACCAATTTGAAATGATTCGAGCTTTGTGACATGGTGCATTATCCTGCTGGAAGTAGCCATCAGAGAATGGGTACATGGTGGCCATAAAGGGATGGACATGGTCAGAAACAATGCTCAGGTAGGCCGTGGCATTTAAACGATGCCCAATTGGCACTAAGGGGCCTAAAGTGTGCCAAGAAAACATCCCCCACACCATTACACCACCACCACCAGCCTGCACAGTGGTAACAAGGCATGATGGAACCATGTTCTCATTCTGTTTACGCCAAATGACTTTCTGACTCTACCATCTGAATGTCTCAACAGAAATCGAGACTCATCAGACCAGGCAACATTTTTCCAGTCTTCAACTGTCCAATTTTGGTGAGCTCTTGCAAATTGTAGCCTCTTTTTCCTATTTGTAGTGGAGATGACTGGTACCCGGTGGGGTCTTCTGCTGGTGTAGCCCATCCGCCTCAAGGTTGTGCGTGTTGTGGCTTCACAAATGCTTTGCTGCATACCTCGGTTGTAACGAGTGGTTATTTCAGTCAAAATTGCTCTTCTATCAGCTTGAATCAGTCGGCCCATTCTCCTCTGACCTCTAGCATCAACAAGGCATTTTCGCCCACAGGACTGCCGCATGCTGGATGTTTTTCCCTTTTCACACCATTCTTTGTAAACCCTAGAAATGGTTGTGCGTGAAAATCCCAGTAACTGAGCAGATTGTGAAATACTTAGACCGGCCCGTCTGCCACCAACAACCATGGCACGCTCAAAATTGCTTAAATCACCTTTCTTTCCCATTCTGACATTCAGTTTGGAGTTCAGGAGATTGTCTTGACCAGGACCACACCCCTAAATGCATTGAAGCAACTGCCATGTGATTGGTTGATTATAATTGCATTAATGAGAAATTGAACAGGTGTTCCTAATAATCCTTTAGGTGAGTGTATACTGTCAAGTAACCCCAAAAGGTATTTGGGGTATTTATTTCAAAAGTTTGGCGTTGGTAAGAATTGTAATCTTTATGAAAGAATTATCTTATGCTCACTAAGGCTGAATGATGATCCTTCAGAAACTATTCTAATATGCTGAATGTGTTCAAGAAACATTTGGGATGCTTAAAAAATAATTTTGAACAACAAACCTATTGATTCATTTCAAATAACTTCGTTTGTGTAAAATGATTGAAAAGTCTGCCATATTTCTTTAACAATAAAACTATTGGTTTTGTACTTTGTTCAAAATAATCTAATGCACAATTATACTTTTTAGGACCACTGATTTAAATACTGCAGAATCAGATATATGGATAGATGTACAGGCATGCATGTAATCGTCTAGTGTGGTTTCACAAGAAGACAAGATCAGTACAGATGTTCGCAAACATTAAAATCAATAGTCTGAACAATTTATTCTATGATTCTTCCTGCCAGTCAGTGCAGCAGGCATGCCTTCACATAGGAAAGTCTCACCGTCTAGCTGGGTGCTTTATTACTGCTTGTTTGTCTTGCAAACAGAGCCCCTCACCTCAGCCTGGAGACACCATAGCGACCAGATTCACAGATCACGCACACAGGGCGTCCCAAAGAGCTGACAGGGTGCAAATCAGCTCTCCCGGTACTCACTATAAAGCGCATTATTTCTGTGCAATGTCAGTCCATTTAGAATGTATTTGTTTTTCAGGATTCAGGAAATTGCTTTTAAATGGGCTACTGTATATGAAACATCATAAATACTGTGCGTATAAAATTATTTCACATAGTGTCATATTTCATGAAAACAGAGAGCAAGTGACCCTTTAAAAGCACTCTTTGGCTAACAGGTTGACTTACAGAGCTGAGAAAAAAACCCTGACAAGATTGTGAAGACTGTAATAGTGTTGCACACCTCCCTGTCAATCAAATGCTCTACTTCTAAATGCAGCCTCACTGTTGCCCTTTCACACCCATTTGGTTTCTGCTTACGGCTACTGTTACGGCATGGAAACTTACATCTACACTGCAAGTGAGCAAATAAAAACTGCCCTCACGATCAAGGAAGTAGTCAGCTTCATTGATTAGAATAGGAACATTCAAGTTTGTGGCGTCGCCAACAATATAGGGTGTTACAATGCGGCACTGACTGTGAGGAAATTTAAAATGTTTTCTTGTTACACTTTGGGGAAATTGAGGGGAAATTATGTTTACAAGTTACAAACACAATCAGGTATATCTGTTGAACTGTAGATAGATAGATAGATAGATAGATAGATAGATAGATAGATAGATAGATAGATAGATAGATAGATAGATAGATAGATAGATAGATAGATAGATAGATAGACAAGGAACTTGGAACATTCATTGCTTGCACATTCTATGTTAAATAAACCGATAAATAAACTGCAATACAAAATCACTATATATGTACAGTATATATATATATATATATATATATATATACCCTGACATAAAGTGTACAAATTTACAACTACATTATTGCACCTGGCTGATTTTACAGTTTCACCACATAGCTTAGATAAGACAGGAATTATTGTATGATAGCAACAATACGCTAAATAGTTTATGGTTAGGTTAGGGTCTGAAATTGAACAGGTCTCAAATAAATAATGCCAATATGTGATAAAATGTTTAATGCAAATTCCTCTTTTTGTGTTATATTTTATAAAATGTAGTCATAGGTTTACATTTTTAAGTTGGCCTAACTGATTCAGGTCAGCAAATTGTGATAACATCGTGTGAATTATTCAACGACTTTCAGTGATTCGACTATTTTAAAGAAATGCCGTCTTTTAACATTGCATTTCAATGTCTGTAGGTTTCATTTAAATGTAAATGTAACTTACCAGCCTTTATATTGATTGTCATTTACACCACCAGCACAGTTAGCTAAACAACAATGACCTGAAATACTTATAAAAAAATACTAAAAACCAAATAGGCCTACTTTAAAAAAATAACAATGAAAAAAGTTTATATTGGTTATATGTAAACCTATAATAAAGTGATCCCTATGATGGTAGTTGTCCTGCATCGACAAACCGCCCAAAACGCAACGAAAAGAGTGTGACTAAAACTGTTGTTGACTTAGCGAACGCGCAACCTCTGTCCATTAGTCTATTTGGCAAAACGTGAAAATATGCTCTTTGATATAGGCTACTTTTCTCATTACTAATGAAAATTAATATCATGTTGAAACCTAAAACTAAACTTTATGAAAAATAAACCCTACCTTTTTTTGACTACCTATTGGGGATCGATGCTAAATAAGCGGAGTCTGACACAACTCCCTCAAACACCCAGACAACTCGCACCCTGCAATTGGAGTAGGCTATTTGACAAAACATAAATTGATGACACTGTGTACTGTTTTTTATGGTGGGAGGAGGGGGCCTCATAAAAGGTAAAAAATAAATAAATAAATCCCCTGAAAATCGATTCCAGGACGCAAGAAGCTATCATTCTATAATAAATAGAAAGTTCATTTTCCAACACTGGGCTTCATCCAGCTGGAACCGGCAAAATATCTCAATGTCATGAAGCCTAAAGTTGTATGTTTTTACACAACTTTACTATTTACTTCTTATAAACGTACAGATCCTAAAAGCCTCTTCAACCTACCATTCAAATGTAAAATAGAGCCCAATAGTAATAGCAGACAAAGAATAACGGGACATAAGACGGGAGGCGCTCCGGCAATAAGGAGAGGTGTCTACAGACCGCAGTTAGACGAGCCAATGGTTTTATATTATTGCAATACACCATGCCCGTCATCACGCGGACATTATTCTGCTATTATTCTGTTAAAAGAAAACCATTAATTAACATAAAATGAGCTGGTTAGCCGGTATGCTAGCAGGCTGCAGATGGGAGGCACTGGCCATCACCTCGGTGCTGGAATAACTGTATTCATACAGCGGAGGGATGCATTAGACAATCGCTTGAGGAATTTACCTATGTATCTTTCCTCTGAAATCTGATAGTTTTTTTTCCTTTTGACTTCTGATAATCAGCACAATAAGGCTAAAACGCACAAGCCTCGCCTTTCTGACACATCTAATAACGGGTTCTTGTTCCAAAGTGGCTTCCATTGATCTTACCTTCAGTGGTGACAGCCCCGGTGCAGGAACAAAACACTTCCGAGGAAAATACGATGGTGTGATTTATTTCCAAATGGGCGGCTTTCCAAACCTGGCCAGTAAGTTGAAACAACACCTAAAAAAAATCCGCCGGCTCGCCTCTGAAGTGATGGAAGCAGAATGAATCCACGCGTTGCTGTGGGTATCTAGGAAATGCTCGTCTCTCTGCCGCTCCCTGCCAAATAATGACCCCTCCCACTGAATCCCCAGCCACAAACACGACAGGTGCTGAGTATGCGCGCTCCCTCCTTGCTAAATAGTGAGCCGCGCGGAGGCTCTCCAATGCGCCTGCGCTGTGAACGCGGCGAGAAAGAGCGCAGCCTGGGATAGGCGGGGCGAAGATGGTGCTGCGCATCCTTGTTAAATAGTGATGCTGAGCTGGAGGATGGAGCGCGTGCTCACAAACGTATGCTTAATAGGAGTTCACCACTGTTTGGAATTGTGTATTTTTTTTTCCGTTTTATTGGGAAACAGGCCTACTGTGTTTATGGAAAGCACATTTTATAAACGCCAATCTTGATTAATAATATTGATCAATATTTCTTTTGAATTATTATTGCATATAAATAAAAGTGCAACAAAAAGAGCAAAATGTTATTCACTCATAATTATACCAACAAAAACACAAAATGTCCACTGGTTGATTTTGGAACTCGTAGACTAATCAAAATGAACACTTTTCTTAATCGGCTGATTGCCCAATTTTTTTTTGCAAAAGCTGATCTCAAAATCAAAGAAAAGTCTTTTACTACTAACAATCTTCCTCTGAAAACCCCACGTTCAGATTTTAAAACATGATTGATGTGTTGCTCAAAGTTGTTTTATGGTTCTAGAAACTGAAGTTGCATAGAAAAGAGCTGAGTGAAGATTCTGCCAAAAAATCTACTTTTGTTAAATATAAAAAACATATAGGTTACAGCAACATGGGAGTAAGTAAATTACATTTTAATTTCTGGGAGAACTATATATTGTTTGAAAAATAGGCCACTGTCTATCCCCAGTGAACCCAGGGTTGTGAACATTGTTGTTCTTTCAGGCGTATGTTCGCAATGCTGTGCCAGTTACATCAGAAGGCTGTCAGGATCACAGGGACAAATACACTCAATTCCACACAAATCCTGACCAGCTCTCGACAAGCAGATTTTTTTATATATAGAGTATAAAAGCAGTATTGCAATTTGATTATATCAATTAGTCCACTTAAATGTGATTTCACCGGACAGATAGGGTTTTGTAATTATTATTTTTTTACAGTGAATGGTCTAAAGCCTTTTATACAGCCTTTCTAGTGTAACAACAGGCTGTTTTTTTTTTTTTTTTTTTTTTTGCTGATACGCACACTTCCACCTCTGCCAGAGATTGGCAGTATGCATAATACATGTGCTGAATAAGTGAGAGGTTTACATATTCATAAAGCTGTAGCAAGTATACCAGTATAGCAGAAAGACCTTCTGCCTGTTGGAAAAGACAGACATTTTGGAAGGTTAAATCCATTCTAAAAATCATGATTAAATGATCATGATATACTGTATGCACTTTTGGACTATGCTTTGGCAACATTGGAAAATCAATTAAAGAAATTGTTCAAGATCAATAATGAATTGCTCTAATAAGTCAGATCTTTTCAATGAATTAGTTGATCTATTGCAAAACTCATCTAAATGATTTGTTCATGATTCGGATCGATTCGTATATGGAAACTTGTTTTCGCCACGGCATTACAAAATGTAAAAAGTAAATGACTAAGTAAGTGAGACTTTTTTTTCATAATTGTGTTTATATCTTGCAATTCTGACTTCATAACTCGCAATCGTGATTTCACATTTCACAATTCATCATCAGGATAATAACCTTGCAACTGTGGGATTTTTCTCGCAATTGTGTAGCCTGGAAAAACCCAGACAACTTCCGGCAAATTTAGATTTGCTCTGAAAGTTAGTCTGGCAAAGAACTCATTCAAGCTCATTTCCAATCCGCCGAAATCGAGGCACCAATCAGAAACGTTGGGGCGGGCTTTACACGATGACGACAGCGCTGGGATTTTGAAGCAGATTTTGTAGCCTACATTACAAAGATGGATGCCGCCGTCGAACATCACTCGTTCGAATCAGCTATCGTGTCTCTTTTAAGCGATTTGAACGTTTCCTTTTTGTTAAAAACCGAGCAAAGAACAACACTCGGAGATGTTTCTGCTGCTCTGCATACGTCATCTCCTTCATCGCTCTGATTGGTTTTGGGTCTATCTGCGACGTCCGTTGGTGACGCCCCTCTGGAAATGATTTGTGCCGCTTTGCCAGACCATAACTCAGTTACAACTGAGAATGGTCTGGTTTTAACCAGGCTAGCAATTGTGATCTTATTCCTCACAATTCTGACTTTTTTAAATTGAAATTCTGAGAAATAAACTAAAATGACATGGTGGTAGAAAAAAAAAATGGGATGGGAGGAAAAAATATTTTTCAATGCTTTTGCGTCCTCTCGTTGCATGAAGACACGATGATGAAGATAAAGTTCCAACAGAGTCTTTAATTCTATTTCACAGGATAAATAAACAGAAGGCATAGTTTAGAACGCAACAGACAAGACCGGACACTGAATACTGACGACACCGGAATTTATCTACTATACAAACAAGGTAAATTAATGATACACAGCTGAACTAATGACTAATCATATCAGTAGCCATGACAACTAACGAGTGGCAGGAAAACTAAACAAAGGAAACTAAAGAATATAATCTGAAAGTCCATGAAAATGACACTAAGACAAAAATAACAGACAGTCTGTGACAGCGTTCCCCAGAGAAACTTTGCATTCTTCGCAAAATTGTTGCGTTCCAATCCGTGAATCTTTGCGTTTTGCGAAAGTACCCATGTGGTGAAAATCAAGTTTTTAATGTGTTTTATATGTCTAAGTAGGGGAGCGCGGGGCACAACCTAACGCGGGGTTAAATGTAACACGGACCTTTTACATAGTTAGTCAGGATCAAGCAGGTTGTGTTTCCGCTCTTTTTCTCTCGCTGCCAGAAGATGGTCTCCCGTGAATTTGTGGAAAGTTTTGATAATATTTCATGAAGATACTGTACAAAGAGTGTTTTGACACCATGCAAGTCAATTTTTTCATCATAGGTTTTTTTCGGTTTCTGAGTTGGGTGTGTACGTTTTCAAATCTAACTTTATATTGCCTTAACCACTGTCTTGTTTGCTAAAGCTTAAAATATGCTTTACACAGCAGGGTTAGTTGTAGCACAGTGTTACAACTAAGCCGCCAAGTGTACAATGATAAACAAATGAAAACAGGGAGCCACACAACTTTTCAGGTTTGAGTATTTATTTATATATTTAACTTTGTTGGACTTTCACAAACAATGTTGGAATTTAAAATGTTTAAAATTCAGTTTACTATGCATTGATCACTTTATTTATTAAAAATATGGCCTGTTTTTAATGCAATAAACCCTTTAAATTTAGATTTTAAGCTCATTTGTATTATTATTACTGTTATTAGTATTACGGTAATAATAATAATTTTACATGCAACTGCCACACACAAATCTAATTCAATTGCAATTACAATATTTGATGATTTTATTTATTTATTTATTTATTTATTGCAAAACTGTGCTGCCCTTTTCTATGTCTCTATCCATGATATTGATCCATAATAGAAGGATGATTGGATGAGGGATGGATGTATGGATATCTATCTATACAGATGCACAAACAATATCAAACTATACAAATAAAATAGTACTGCATTATGTGTGTTACACACAAGTGTTACAACTAACCCCTCTGTCTGTTACAATTAACCCCGCAAATGGGGTAAGTTGTAACATTTGCATTTCTGTCACTTTCAGTGCAACAGTACGAAAATGGTAGGTCCTAGAAAAAAAACTTTAAGTGTTCATTTGTAGCAGAGATGTGTATGTTGCTTGTGTAAAAAAAAAGGTGAATCTAACTTAATAATTTTTTTAATAATTGAGCCAAAACCAAAATCCGTTGTGCCCCGCTCTCCCCTAGTGTTTTTAATATGCTTTAAGACAAACCATGAGCACATTCATAAGTCAACACCATTGCTGAGTATTTTCTCCTTAAAACTGCAGTGAACAAAAGACAGTCTCAAAAATGCGGTTTGAAAACGCTGGTGTTTCTGACGTCACAAACTGTAACCAATCACGTCAACGTGTGATCATCAACGAGTGGATCTCTGAGCTGGTTTGAGTGAGTGGAGGCGGGGCTAATTTGCAAATTCATAGAACTGCGTATACTAAATGAGGCAAGGGTGTAGAGTTACATTCAAGCTATTACAAGGCATGAAGAATTTCTTTTCATGGAAAAAGCATTTAAACATGTAATTTTTGTGATCAAATGTGAGTTTTAAGGGATACATATAATTTTCCTCCCATCTCATATTTTTCTCATCACCATGTCCCTTTAGGGGCTCCGTTTCTTCCATAGATTTGGTTATCGACGTCAAACGATTCTTCAGTTAATCTCGCTGGAGGGGAAATTTCTTTTCTTCTTTTTTTTTCTTCTACAGAATAAAAGTCCATCACACAGGTTTTGACTGATATGGAATTGAATAAATGATGACCAATTTTTTATTTTATTTTTAGTAGAACTAATTCTTGAATGCATAAAATCAATTGATGTTTCAAACCCTGTTCAGCTTTTTTTGGTTCTAAAAGCATTCCAGAGCATCTGACCTAAAACTTAACCAATTTCAGATTAAAAATGGACTCTAACGTGTGCACATCATTTTTCAAATAGCAATTAGCAGAATGTCACATGGAGTTCTGAACACTACATAACATCTGTTCACAGCAGACAGATGCAAATCAACAGTTGCCTTTCAGCTATCCTGTTTTGTTTATTAGAATTAATGCTGTAAATTCCTTCTAAATGACTAAGTAACTACTTCACCGCAAATTCCGAAGGTCATGAGTAATGTTCTGCGTCAGTTGCATCACATTTCAGAATGATTATGTTTACAGACAGACACATGCTCATCAATACCACAGAGGCTTCCACTTGAGCACTGTACGTTTGCTGAATTCGAAGACAAATCTCACAGCCCAGAGTAAGTAGGCAATTACAAAAAGCTAAGGTTGTGCCTTGCATTTGAAACAGGATTGAACTTGAGTTCCAGTCAAAATTGTTAAGTCAGTTGTGAGTGATTTTAATACACCCTTTGGGAAGCAATAAACGTAAACATGGTTGCTGAAGTC